ACTTCTGGGCTTGGAGGTCACTCTTCCTCGCTCTCGGAGGGACTGGCTCTCGGCTCCCAATTCCACCCCATGGCTTTAACACGTTGACGACAGCGCACACTTCGTTTTTCGGGCCATAAGGGACAGAAGGGATTTTGCGAGCGCGGCCGTCTCGTCCATATCCGTAAATTTTGAGTGGTAGCTATGCAAAACATGAATAAATCACAACCATTTTAGCAATATTCAATGCCTAGAAGTTGACCGGGGGTATAGTGGAGAAATTCCGACCAAAAAGACCATGTAATATTTACGAAAAAGCGATTTCACTATTTTTCTATTTGATGGGTTTCACAAGTATTTTGAGCATGGTTATGCCAGAAAAAAAAACATTTTTTCTACCCGTATGGATTTGTATTTTCTTCTACTAATCTTTTTTGATTACATGGTCATGAGTCTAACGAGGAATGAACAGAGCTGCGAATTTTGTAGCGTTGGAAAACCTCTGCGAAACTGAAGCATATTTGACTATACAGCAAAGCATGCCGTTGACAGTTACGTAATGGAGGGTTCCAGGGAATGAATTTAAAGAATAGTAATAAATAAGTAAGTACAAGTAATGAGAAAAGTAAAGTAAAAAATAAGGGATAAGTCGCGCAAGCGCGAGAAAAAGGGATGACTTGGGTGGGACGCGTTACCGCGTCACAATGTCCCACGAGGTGTGCAAAGTGGGACGCGTTACCGCGTCACGCTGTCGTCAATGTGTTAGTGAATCTTCTTGGCGTAGGTATTGGGTTGTGCAGAACTTCACTGTTTTGAGTGTTTACTAATGTGTACTCTTAGGTTCGAGTATAAGGTACGCAAAGCTCCGTGTAACTACAAACGCTCTCTCAATCAAGCCTTCACTTGACCTATTGTATGTTGCAAGATCTTCATGACCACTGTGCTTCTTCGCAGCTTACATCTCTTCTGTATTTATGGGGAGGTCGTCGAACAGACCACGGTGTCCCACTGGTTCTAGGGCTTGGTAATTGTCGGTACTTCTACCGGAGGAAAGCAATGTTCTAGTTGGCTATGGGAAAGAAATGAAGGGTGTCAACTCAACTTTCTGAAGGCAGGTTAATCTACCAGTTGTCATTGGGAATCAGCCCAGGCTGAAAGCTCGTTGGAGTCAAGTTAGAGGTGGTCGGTGGTGCTGGGTTGGAGAAAAAACTTGAGAAATGTGACTCCTTCCTTGCCTATCAATTTCCGCATTGATGCGACTCTCATCGGTGCTGCCCTCTTCAACGCTAACGCTCTCTCTGCTAAACGGCTAGAGACCTGCGGCGAGTGGTTAGCCAGTCGGTGGGCGTGCCGCGTCGATAGCGGCGCATGGACAGCCATGCTTGTTCGCAGTATCATTTGCTGAGAATTGCGTGTCGGTACGCACCCTTAGCGGACTCTGCCTATTTTTCCACCCGGCAAGATCCCACTTCTTAGACCTCCGGTCTTATCGTGGAGTCCTCCTTTAGAGGCAGTGATCGTGATGGCTGGAGCAGTGCGGTCTTTATGACCTCACTGAATATGTGTGGACCCCCTCAGCACGCGGGGCTGTGTTTGGGATCGTTGTTTAATGCACCACCAATGGCAATCGGGGAAGTCATCAAAACCGCAACGCCCTCCAACCATCGTGAACAATGTCTTCAGAATGCCTTCGCAGCAGGGTCAACCGTCCGTTCGAACTGTTCGAACGAAGGGGTCGCATTTTGGTCGGAAGGGGGTCGCAATTTCGAGGACTGCCAGCCACAGGCGCGTGCGTGGCGTATCCGAGGGCAAGACTTGCTTGTGCAGACCGCATTAGATTCGATTTATTATGCACAGAGAGACAGTTTTAGGCAAATTACGGTGTTTTCTTGAGGAATAAAGAACAGTTGAATGCATCCCTATGAAAGGTTTGACTTCTCGGGGCTGAAATTAAAGTTCTTCGGGACCTGATTTTCTGAGGACGATTCTTCCAGACAACGGTAAAACACATAAGAAAGCAGAAATCTCGTAGTCTTCAAAAATGTCTTCGCCCCTCCCCAACAAGTTCTTTGAAGGAAGTTATTATTGCTGAAAGCTCAAAAACTCGCATGTGCTGCTCAAAAACCTATGGGAACAAAATGTTCGAACGTGTGATTTTCTCGGAAAATGGATTTTGAAAAACGGTTTTGGTGCTTGTTCAGAAAGAGCAAATCCTGTCTTTCACCCCATGAAAAAAGTGCATCACAGAAATGAAAATGAAGTGAGTTATGGTCGCTTAAAGCCCAAAAACTCGCGATTTCAAAAAAGTGTTCGGCAAAACCCCAAAATGTTCGAACGTGTGATTTTCTCGAAAATGAACTTTGAAAAACGGTTTGGTGCTTGTTAGAAAGAGCAAATCCTGTACTTTCACCCCCATGAAAAAAGTGCATCACAGAAATGAAAATGAAGTGAGTTATGGTCGCTGAAAGCCCAAAAACTCGCTTTTGCACAAAAATGTTCGAACGGGACAATTTTTTGAAAAAGGGGACAATCACTAAACTTTTTATACTGTTTTGTTAGAGAAATATTTGAAGTTTCTGAAACTTTTTACAGATTTCCAAAATGTCGCATACGAAAGATTTTATGGGCCTTCAAAGTTGAAGGTGCGCCTTCTTAGAATTTGGGTTTTCCACTTCTAACAGAAGTACTTTCCGGAGAGTTAGGCAATCCTTGTAGTTTTCTGAAAGCGCACCTCAGGCACAGTCAAAATCTACCTCAACAAGTCAAAAAAGTACGTCCCAAGAAAGTTATTCCCCTCTAAAATTTTTTCTTCGCCGCGTCCCGTTCTTCCAGCGCCCGGGTGATACCTGCCGCGCTCCAAGGCTGACGCCGCGCAGACGACGCGCAGACGCTTTCTGGCGCAACGGATTCATGTCTAGCACTCTTATTAACAAAAACAGGGGGTCGCAACTGGACCCCCTCGAGAGCTAGGGTCACTGGACCCCCTCGAGAGCTAGGGGGTCGCAAAAATCCCGAAAATGTTCGAACGTGACGGTTGACCCTGCTTCGCAGTGGACGATGAGGTCCTTTGGACATCCGATGAGCGCTGATATCGTTTGACGGTACTCACTTGGAATTCCTCATCAGATCCTGCCACTGACGAGGTGATATCCCCACATGTACTTTGATATCCATTTATATCATCTTCTGGTGAGTAAATCGCAAAGATGTACAGCCCTTCGTATCGCTGCCTGAAAATCAAACATTCTTTTACTCAATTTATAAAGAAGTTTTTTCCATTTGGTTCCTGCTCCCTTTAAAGTGGAGAAAGTTTTCTCTTTTCCTAATGCCTTCAGTCCCATTAGTGATTTATCAAATCGTACTTTGCGTTTATGTCTTTCATGTAATTTGAAGAACAGGTAAGCCCATTGACCTGATTGCAAAGTCTCGCAATCGGCAGGAAACAAAGATTTGAGCCGTAGTTTGCTCCTAAAGAACGTCACATGGTTTTGTTTATCTGGAAAAGCTCAAGAAAAGAATTACCAGCAACTGAGACGAATGTGTCAACGAGTTCTGTAAGAGGAGCTCCGAGATGTTCCTCTGTATCCACACACTTACCACCGAGTATCGCCTGAAAATTCGAATGCTGTAATGGTGGTATGGAATGGTTTTGACACGTTCCGGGATTTTTCTTTCATGTGAAATGCTATGGTTTGTGAGACTCAAGGAATATCTCGGGAAAGTTATTGACTTAAAGGAATCCTTCGCGGAAAATTCTTGCATTCTTTCCTAACATGAATGTGTCAGTTGTGATCACTGGAAACAGCACACAAAGTTTCACGCATGAAGATTCGGTTTCCGAAGAGAAACAAACGTACAAAAACTACATCTATGGACAATCGAAGGGAGCCAAAGGCGAGGCATGGAAAGAAGTTGGCCTTTGGCCGGCTACGTATCAGGCGACGCAATGAAAGAATCGGGTTAAAGCGCGCGATTTCGGAGAGTAGAGACAAATCGATCGATAGAATAGGATGGAGTAGAAGTGTGAGATGTGAATGCAATAAGCAGAAGGCCAGAAAGAGTTTCTAGTGAAGGCACTCCAAGAACCAAGTGGAAGCATCCCCGTCGCCAGCATTTGTGAAAGACGTCCGTGGGCACTTTGAACGCGTAGCAGCCCTTTCGATTTTTCGAATTTTTTTACCAAAACAAAAGCAATTTTCTGTTCTTTTCATTCTTATCGTGGATAATGAGTCTCAAGCCAGTGATTTATGGCTGAAATAGAATCATGATTTTTCCGTGAAGGATTCCTTTAAAGCCAAGCCTTGGACTAAAACTAGTAATGTTGCTACGTAGTGATGGATCAGCTGCGGGGTCAACAGAAATGGAAGAAAAAGCAAGCGAATTCATCGAAAACGCAAAAATGAAGGGTCTAAATGTCGAAAAAAACTGATGAAAATTCGATGTGGCACACTTTGGAAAGTTTAACCGAGGAAGGTAAACACTTGAAAACTTACCGCGCATTGATAGAGGCGCTAGCGATCTCTACATCATCGTGTGTGAAAAAGCTGAGATGCTTTGCAAGTTTCATAAAAGGCTAGCGCCCTCTACCGCGGACCCAAAACTTCACTCGCGATCACGCTTCCTATTAGTTAATGCGCTCTTCTAATAATGGCCCGGTTTGCCTTTAATTTAGGCTAGAGCACTGCAAGGAAAGCACTGAGATTATGTCACGACTTTTACTCGAAGTTTTCCATTTGTTCTGATTGCTCGAACTGCAGCGCAAGGTGCACCATCTGGAATCATAACGGAAGTTTCAACTGGTTTGGGAGCCAGTTGTGCAGTTTACTTGTGAAAATTTCTGTTGATGAAGGCGAGACTTGGGAAAAAGCATCTGATACTCTTGTTAAGGGCGTTAGGCAGGTAGAGTAGACCTATGTAATGGTTGACCATCAACGATACAGATGGCGACCGCTAAGGGCCGCCAAGCCATTTCCCCACTGCTCTCTACATTGTTTGTATTGTTGGTACTATATTAGGCCGTGGAGCAATAAGGTATAGGATTGGAGCCACAGACTACAGCGAGGGACGGGTTATAGTTTGAGATTTCTTCACGTTGTTGTTGCGTTGTTCAATAAACCAGTTTAGCTCCGCACGCAACCGCGCCCATCACATAAATGCGCTTTAGTGAAACTGGACAACTTGCAGAATATTAGGTCACGTGGCTGAGAAACTTACAGTGAGATGTTTTGAAAGATGTGTCACACATAAAGTTCGAAGGCTGTCTAATTTCGCTGAAGATTGTTGCATTCAGCGGATGAATAATTTTGTGAAATAGGCAAGTGGGCTGTTTTCGAAAAAAATTGGAGAAATTTTTCATATGTCCCAAACTTTTAAGGATCAGACTTTGATGGTGATGTGTATTTGGACCGCAACATTGTCGAGTTTGTCATGGACATAATGCGGATGTTGCACAGGTACATATCCGGCACAGTGTAATTCAACCTGGCCAGCGTGTCAGGAGCCGAGTGGTTAACACGTTGACGACAACGCGCGTTTTGGGTTTTTGCGCCGCGTGGGACCAGAGCGATTTCGCAGGCGCCTCCACCTCACATCCAATCCTTGATTTTTGAACTTTAATGATATGCAAAACGTGATTGTGACGTAATGCTTTCAATGATTTTTGATATGCCGAACCTATTCTGAAGGTATAGTTGAAAAAATTTGATCATGATACATGTGCTGCTAATGGAAAAGGCAGAGCTTTTGTGTTTTCTGTCTCGAGTGCTCTCGAAAAAGTCTTCTGACCGCGGGTTCTCACTAGAAACATAATATGAACTCCAACCAATTTACGAAAGAGTCCATTAAAAAGATGAAACTGGTTCACTTAGAGTCACTTGCGATTCTGATGTTGTTTTGATGTTAAGTCTCTGCGCTCATCTGCTCATTTCATTTTACTTGTATCCTATTGCTATCACTCGAATAATATGCTCTCTTCAAATCCAGCTTCTCCTGTTAATTGCTCTCGGCATACTGGCCGATCTGATCCTGCACATTTGATTCCTGTCTGAGACTCATACCACTCAACCATTATTCCAAGATATCAGACAGTACTGACTTGATGTTCTGATGAAGTTTTTTCTCCTTATCGATACTTTAATGGTTTGGTGGCTGGATGGACACTCCGGGCGCATGCATGTAGGTCAGACTTTATACCTCTCCTAGCTTACCGTTTCCACGAGGGAGGTCGGTATACCCGTGTTTCGAAGTTGCGGTAAGCTCCTATGACCCCTGCTGTGGCGAGTGGGCACCATAGCCGACTGGTGCAGGTGGGTATCTGTGTACTGGCTTACGCGCATGCGCGCTGGAGCGGACACGCGGGGGTGATTGGAGTATTATGCGTTACTGGGCCGTATTGGTCACGGGATGAGCAGTTACACCACCAGTCTAAGCAGCAAGAACCTTTCCTCCACGCGTTTGGACACTACCCTAGCTCAATCTCTATATTTTTTGGCATGCCATTCAAGTTTCTAAGAATTAGGTTTTTTGTTAGAATCCGTTTCGTTAGTAGTTTTGATTTTTGATCTGCTTAAGTTCACTGTTACTATACAACTATGCTCTGTTTGATCCTCGGCTAGTTCCGATGTATTACAGAAGCGCGTCGGTCGACGCACACTATAAATAAATAAATAATAGAAACATATATCCTGCCATACGTATGGATTTAGTTTCCTATATACTTTCTTCTTCTGCTCTTTTTTATATTCATTTTCAACAGAATAGAAAGAAAATGAGGAATGAATCGAACTGAAGAACTTGTAGAATCTGGAAAAACTTTGCTAAAGTAAAGAATATTCAACTCTTTTGTCCATCACTCCGTGTGTGGTCACGCTATGAATGTGTTCTAAAAGATACTTCACAAAAAATCAGAAAAGAAATAGGGCATGGGCCTCTAAAAAAAACTAAAGCAATTCGTGTCGACCGCGGGCATGCGCGTCACACGGTCCCACACGTTCAGTGTGCTAGCGCATGCGTCTGCACAGTTGTCGTGCCCACGTGTTCAATCTACTTTCCTGGCACCGACAACGTTTACTGTAAAACCGTGATATCGAGAGCATGCAACAAGTACCTTCCTCGAAATAGGAGATCCCATAGAGTAACCAATTACATCTACACGTTTTCTGGTGAATGCCGCCACTGCTTGTATTAATGAGCGGATCTGAAAACAGTGAATTAGTTACGGAAATTTGTATTACTGTGATTAATTTCTCATGTCCAGTGAAGAACTCCGAAAAAAAACAATATGCTAGGGAGTTTGAACGGTGCTGCTCTCTTTAAAAATACCCGAACCAGCCTTTTCCACGAATTCCTCTACGATTCTAGCAATAAATGGAATTATGATGCGCGGCACATTCCATGAAGCCCCAATGAAGACTATTTCAATAGACACGTGAGATATTTATTTATTTATTTATTTATTTATTTATTTATTTATTTATTTCTATACGTCCAGTGGACGCGCTTGGACAGAGCATATTCGAATAGAAATACTATCAGACGCTAAAAAGGCAGCAGTCGTCCTCAGTTGAGTCACAATAATTGATGGGTCAACGTCCGACTTAACCAACTTGTAAAGGATAAAAGCGAGAGAGGGGGCAGTTCAAAAGATTCCTTGAGTATTTTTTTTCGAACTCTGGGTCATACACTAGGTTGATCAGTGAATTTGTGTACAGATTGGAAGTAACAAAGAACATTGCCATGAGCCATAAGGTTAGTGCCTCAAAGATAACCCTACTGCGAGGCCGCAGCCCTACTACAAGCGCGGCGTAGAAACACCTCTTTGATCTAAATACGAACCCTAGGGGCTGGCTCGGGGGCGCTTGTGAGGATAGCTAACCATGCGATGTCATAAAATGGGCTCATTTTGAGAATGGCTAATAGGCTTTGAATGAATTCCGTAGTTTTTAATCAAGTTGGATCAACAGCTGGTGTATAACACAACCATTTAGACGTTTCACCATTATATTTCATCACACAATTGATGTATCGATTTTGATTTGAAGCATACTGTAGACTGCAATCCTTTTTGCTCACAACATAATCGTGAATAATATACAGTAAAACTGCTAGCTAGAGTGAAATTAACACTTTCAAATAATATCAGGAAGACCAATCACACGAAGAAGATCAATTTTCTTGATAGCTCTTCTGAATTTGTCGGAATTATCACAGGCTAAAAGAGATGAAGGAAGTTGTCCAGCCATTTACTTGTTCTGCAAAAAAATTGTTTTCACTGATACTGCGCCTGCAAATACCCATTTTTGGAACAATTTGAAATGAACAACCGCGTCTACCACCAGTGGGGCGGAACATCCAGTACTTAGATGGACGCAAGTGCAATTCGCCTCTTAAAATTTTGAAAGCCAAGATTATATCTGACTGGATTCTCCGATAATAAAGAGATTTCAAATTGAGCTGCTCCAAGCGATTTCTATATGAAGGCATATTTAGAGGGTAAGTTGGGTCAGGGAAAATGCGGTGGAATAATATCCTAGTAAAGCTCTTTTGGACTTTCTCAATTTTTTCGATATCTTTCTTGCCTTCTTGAGGTAAAAGTTTCATAATAATATAGTTCGCACCAATTTATATTAACCTCACTGTGCAGTGGCTTACAAGCTATAATGGAGCCAAACAGTGAAAGCTCAAGCATGTACTTACTTCCTTCCAACTCCGAGCCTCGAAGGAGGATTCTAGCGTAAAGCCGTAGGGGGGAGAATTACCTAGTGGAAAGGGTGGCGGGTCTCCAGGGGTCGTTATCGCAACGAGTAATATGCCTATAGCGGCCGAGCAGGCCCTACCTGCCACTGCCCCACTCTCTCGCCGTTTGGCTCTGGCCGGGCAGAGAGAGCGTAAGCGTTGAAGAGAACAACACCGATGTGAGTCGCATCGGTGCGGAAATCAACGGGCAAGAAGGAATCCATTTCTCGGGTGCTCGGCATGGTTTTTTTTATCTAACTGTGCACCACTGACCACCGCTACCCTGGTTTCTAGAGGTGCCTTTTCATAGCGATTTGTGCCATGGAGGGCCTTTTCATAACAAACTGTGCCTTTAGGATGGGGGGGGGGGGAGGAAGAGGTTTAAGTGTAGAAGTGAGTTTAGTTGAGTAAGGATGGCTTAATTGTAGCTGCGAAGGGACGGTTTTCAATGGGCATCTGCTGTCCACGAATTTCTAGCCACTAGCAACGCGAATTCGCAGTACAATAAAAATTTGACCTAAAAGCTTTTTCGGTAATTATGTTATCGCAAGCGCTATAACCTATAACCATCAATGGAAAAGTAACTTCGAAGGAGTAGTTCTAAAGGAACGAAGGATAAGTGAAAACAGAAGTGAATGTGATTGAAATCAACGAAATGAGAAACAATAAGGAAACGAGCACGACCTGTTTTACATACTCGCATTTCATAGTGTCCGCGAACAAAACAGTTCTTTCTCCTTCTCCATAGGTCGTTCCGTACACTTCCGATTCATCCCATCCTGCCTGGAATCGCTTTATTGATGTGATCCGTCTAAAGACGTCTACTGTAGCTACCAACTTGCAAAAGCTTGTGGAAACGGAAAAGGCATGTTCAGAAGAAGCTACTTGTGTAAAAAACACTTACCAACAAAAAATGTTGTCGTTGGACTTCAAGGGCTCCGGCGCTACCACCAAGTCCATGAACAAGCACGACACTTTGTTGTCTGGAAAACAATAGTTCTTTTCGATGATGTTTAATTCTCGAAAACTCCTTCCATTTAAAAGTCTAATTCTAATTCTACTTCAATTTGTAGTTTCGTTCGAATGTGATTGGGCTCATAAATTACCTTTTGGGGCCAGGCCATGTATGAACCAGTGTTTCATTTCCTTCGGTCAAGTCTAATATCTTTAAAGGAAGCGATTACGATAAGGAATTTTCGCATCGGGGGAGAACCTGCGCCACACGGAGCAATTACTTGGGAAGCGATGTGTGGCCTCCCACGGCGAAAGGTGCTGTGGTTGCTGATGACTTGGGTGAGCTGTTTGCTGTTGGCTTTTCATTTTGGATGATCATTTCCCTTCTAGCGGCTGTATCTTCCAACTTGCCCATGTAATGCCTTATCAATCAAAACACTATGCTTGTTGGCATGATGGCGGCTATCGGGGTTAACACGTCCGAACAACGTCATTCTTTACCGTCGCTCATCCATGGTCGAAAATGAAAGGGCAATCAAAGGGGTACTTCGTAGCGATTCAAAACT